TTAATTTATTTAATTGTTCAAAATTGTCCAAAGTGTCCAAACTTACTGTCCACAACTGTCCTGTGACAACACTGCCTTTGGCATTATGAAACAACCAACTTAGGAAAATTACTCAGTATAAAAAACATAATTTTGATTCTATATAGCTAAAGATACCAAATCAGGCTCTAATTACACCTGTATGAAAGTCTATAATGAAAAGAGTTAAGAATTTATCAGTATAAATACTACATTAATCAGAGTTGAGATTCCCAAAGTTAGAAGTTATATAATATGTACTATATAATAAAGATCTACAACTGAAAGAAATATATTTTGAAACAAGTTTTTAACAAATACCATAAAAAGAAAGTACATAAGGAATAAAGAAGTATGCAGTACATAAAATACCAAAAAAAGAACATTAAGACCTGTGAATGTTAGTTTCATCTATATTGCAAGCATACTAATTTGAGAAACCTTTAAAGACCATAATCCAAGTAAACCAAATAGAAAGTTACTGAGATTTGATTGTAAATCATAAGAAAAATACAGTTAGGTAACTAGAATTAGTTGTGAAACACAAAACCAGATATGACATAGATGGGAATATGGAATATTCTGATAAGTTTAGGTCATAGATAAAGTAGTTTGAGACTTATATTTTGAAATTAGTTTGAAATTAAAGATATAAAAAAATGTATAATACTTAAAAATTAATAAAGATTAGAGGTTTGACCTTATCTAAAAAAAAAAAAAAAAAAAACAATTGTAAAACTAAATATTGCAATAATATAATTTTATTTTCCAATATTATCAAAAAAAAAATTATTTAATCTTTAAAACATATAAATTATAAGCATATTTATAGTAATTTTCTAGACAAATTTGCCTAAAATTAGCTTAAATTTGTAGTAAATATACAGTATAAATTTAAAACATTATATAAGTTAAATATGGTATTTGATTTAATTAGTTAAAAAATTAATTATATAAATTACACAATATATAGTAGCTATTTAATAATTTAACAAATTGAATATTATAAATTTGCTATGTATTTTTTAATAATATTTACAGTATTATAAAATAATTTTTTTTTCTAACCATATTATAGTTATTTTTAAATACTGTAGTAATCTTGCAGTATATAAAAGTTGTAAAAAAAAACCCCTATACGTACCGTTTATAAAGGTATATAGAGGTTGCACCTCAGGTAAAGGTCTTTTAGTTTTGTTTATCGCAAGACGTAGTACATTGTTGGCATTCAGTAACCTATGTTGATGTCGATCCTATATAAAAATGCATAATAGTAACTAAGTTGATTGACCAAAATATATTACCTATCACTCGTCCAATGTCATGCGATAACAATTTTGGCTAATCAACTTATCAGATTTTTTCCTTTAATCCTTAAGCCTTTAGACAACTTTTGAATCAAGTATAAAAATGGCTCAACGTAGACGACAATTGATTATTGATTTAAATAATTACGAGCTTCCGGCCACAATAACGCGGCTAGATACGGTTCGCGAAAAGTTGATCCGGGAACTTTCTCAGCAATATCCCGATCTTTCCAATGTAACTTCAAAGGAACTCTCATTATTTCTTGGTCACTTTCAAAAGTTTCAGGAAGATGCTTTAGGACGTTTAGCTCCACGATTCGATAAGAGTCCCCCTAAAATCCCTGCAAAACTATTTAAATTGGAACCACCGCCTGGTCATAACTCACCGATCTATCATATTATTCGTGCAGCATATAAATTTCGTGGACAAAAAAAATGGAAACGTTGGGATTGGGAGGTTAACAGAAATGATTTGATCGAAATGGTAAAGCAGATCAGAAATCACTTGGAATCTAAAGGATTGATCAAAAAACCTATGATATTACTTGGAGAATCTGTGGCAGGGGGTACACATAGACAAGAACTAATCGAGCATATAAATAATTTGGGAGGTAAATTTCTTTTAACCTATGATGGAATATAATTTTCGCTCCAAACCTAATATTTATTAATATCTTTTGTTTGACATTAGGGCAAGTGACTCATGATGATACAAGAGCGACACATATTATACATGCTACAAATGAGCATAATTATGATGCAGACGAAGAATGGTACAGATCTTTAGAAAAAAAGGATGGTAAAGTTTTGTTACATTGGTGGTATTACCCAGATTCATATGACTCATGGCTGGACGAAGCCGACCATGCAGATCCTGAACCAAATCCCATTCATCACGGTCCCTGGAAAGTATCAGAACGATGGCTTAGAGATAGTGCTGAATTTAATGAATGGATGAACGAAGAAGACTACGAGATAACTGATTCAAAATTGAATGTTGAAGAACAATCTGGTATTTCAGAATCAGAAGCTTCACCATCACACAAACGAACCTTGGATTCTTTAGAATCACCTTCGAACATGGATGTTGATGTTCGCCTAACAACTGATGCCAAGCGTCCGAGATTAAGATCACCAGACCATGACGCCGTGCCAGAACACCCAAATATGTCACTTGTAGATATTGAACAAGAAGCTTCACGTGTAGTAGGAATTCGTACGAGGAAAAACGAATTTGATCCCGTAATTGGTGGGGAAATTGCAAATATTTCACAATTAGTTCCACCAGAAAGAACTACCAAGGAAGATACACAGCAGGATCTTGAAGATCCTGAAGCTATAGACGAGAATGTAGACAGAGATAATGTAACGTCAGACATGGAAGGTGTTCGAATTCCTGCAAACAATAATAGTAAGATTTTACAATATATAATTATTATAAAATAATCATTATTGTTATTATTTTACGAAAATACTTATACGTTTTTACTTAGACATTGACGTTGAGATGACCGAACAAGAGCAAAATAATATGTCCAGTGGACGTACCGAGCATAAAGTTTCGCCTAATTCTGCAGCAAAAGAGTTGGACGAAGACGAAAACATGACAACTACAGACGATAACAGGCAGCTAGAAGATGATGCGAATGAACCTTTATCTGATACCGTTATCCCACAAGAGGTCCTTTCTGCCAATGATGAAGACGAAAAGAAAAGACTTGAAGAAGAGGCCCGTAAATATTTATCAGAACAAACACAAGAAATTGTGATTCCTTCGTACTCTGCGTGGTTCAATATGTCAACCGTTCATCCTATTGAGAAAAAATCCTTGCCAGAGTTTTTCAATAACAGAAACAAATCGAAAAATCCCAGTATATACAAAGAATATAGGGATTTTATAATAAATACTTATCGCCTTAATCCTGGAGAATATCTGACAGTCACAGCCTGTCGTAGGAATTTGGCTGGTGATGTGTGTGCGGTTATTCGTTTACATGCTTTTTTAGAACAGTGGGGTTTAATTAATTATCAAGTAAGTCATTTTTAATGATTTTCACATATGAGGTTATACTTAACTAGTAATTCTGTTTAAAAATAATTTAGGTTGATCCAGATACTCGACCATCCCCAGTTGGGCCTTCTTTTACAGGACATTTTCGTATCACAGCAGATACACCAAGAGGACTTCAACCTTTTCAACCACTTGGAGCTTCGGCTGCCTTATCGAGTTCTGTTGCGACCACGTCTACAGTTAACACAGCAGTTGGTATCACTACTGAATCATCTGCTACTGCAAATCTAAAAGTAGATAAAGTTTTTGGTCTTCGCCAAAATGTCTATCAATCTGGAATGAATACAGCTGCCACTCCGGGCTCACAAGATGAAACTGGTAGTGTTGCTGCTGATTCAGGATCAAATGAACAAAAACAATACAATTGTGTTACATGTGGTGTTAACTGTACTCGTGTTCGTTATCATAGTGTAAAGACTCAAAACTTTGAATTATGTCCAAATTGTTATTTGGAAGGACGGTACCCTACATCAATGTATAGTGGTGACTTTTTGAAAATGGAGGAAACACCGTTCAAGCATGCACAAGATGATGACTGGACAGAGCAAGAAAATTTAAGTCTTTTAGAAGGTGTAGAATTATATGAAGATGATTGGAATAAGATTTCTGAACATGTTGGCACTCGAACTCGGGAGCAATGTATTTTACACTTTTTGGAATTCCCAATTGAAGATCCTCTTAATGAAACTAAAATGTCGGATCTGGGACCACTTCAGTATCAACGTATACCTTTTAGTCAAGCGGATAATCCTGTTATGTCAGTGGTTGCTTTCTTAGCGTCAGTAGTTAATCCAGGCGTCGCAGCAGCAGCAGCAAAGTCTGCGTTGAAAGAACTTTCCATTCACAACAAAAAATCTGCAAACAAAGAAATAAATGGCGTCAACGGAATAAGATCCGGTGATCCAAGTGAAACAGCTGCAAGTACACCAATGAATGATGTTAAAAATAATGATGAAATGGATACAGAAGGAGTAACTGAGCTGAAACCAGATCCAGAACAGACTCCAGAAGAAGCAACGACCTCTGATTCTACTGTTCCTCGTCCAAAACTATTAGAAAGAGCTGGAGCAACAGCAATGGGTGCGGCAGCTGCGAAGGCAAAAGTACTTGCAGACTATGAAGAACGAGAAATTCAACGCCTTGTCAACGCAGTCATTGAAAACCAGTTGAAAAAACTTGAGCTTAAACTTCAGCAATTTGAAGAATTAGAAAATGCACTTGAGAACGAAAAGAAAGAACTAGAGAAACAACGTCAATTGCTGTACAATGAACGTTTAGCATTCAAAAAAAACACTATAATGATGCAGGAGCAATTAAGAAATGCACAAGCTGGTAGTAGCGGACCAAAACCTTCAACAAGTGGGCATGGTTATCTAAATTCAAGCAATAGTCGGATTATATCAAAGCTTGAATTTCAACAGCAACAGCAAATTCGTCAACCAGTTGGACCATTAAGTCAAGAGCAAGGAAATGAGGATCCTGTTCTGATGAACATTTAAGGATGGTAAAGTTAGGTTAGGTTTGGTTTAAGTTCTAAAACCTTAAGCTTCATATTAAAAATCTAAGAACCAGGTTTTTTATATAATAAATTCCGAACCCGGTTTGGTTCAGAACCAATATTTAGAATCTGATTCTCAATACTTTGTAAGACATAAAAAATAAAAATATATCAATAAAAATTTACTTAATTCATTATCAAGCTTTTATATGCTAATATTGATTTATCTAATAAAAAATTTGTTTATAAAGCAAAATTAAGTGGCTAAAGTGGCAGATCATATGATATTGAAGTTAACACAAGCAGTGTTGGAAATCTAATGTTCTCAACGTTCTCGAGAACATTAAAACCATTTTTGAGAACATAATATTTAAAAATTATGTTCTCATTATGAGAACATAAAATTTTTTAATTTTTAATATAATTAATAATTAATAAGAACATTAATTCTAAAATTTATGTTCTCAAAAAACAAAAAAAAATTTTCAGATTTCCTTCACTGAACACAAGGTCTACCAAATAGTCTAATGATTCGAAGGATATAAAAAAAATCTAATCGCAGGATTACCAAATAATCATATAATGACCTTTTAATTCATATAGAACGAGTAGATACTTTAATTTTATGTCAATTTATCGATCCACAAAATTATTAGATACTAATAAATGCCATGCATCTCCATAATACCTTATCTGTTATGTATTAATAAAAATACATGGTACAAATTTGGGACTTAGTGTTAAATACACATTCTCTGCACTCTGCATGTGTGTGAGATTTTACAGCCGGACTTATACGTGCATTCTTTAAACAAAAAATTATTAGCAGTTAGTAATTCAAAATTTTGTATATACGTACGTACGTACGTATGTACGTATACATACGTACGTAATCACTTTTTTATATTTTAAAAGAAAATTTTTTACCAAATTTTAGTACCGCATTATCGCGAAATAACGTGCAGGGGCGAAATTAAGAATTTCGGCCTAAATTAAGCTTAATTCGGGCAATTATTCTAAATAACGCCCATGCTCGTTATTTCACGTATAATTTAATTTTAACTTACATATTATTAGTATTACTTGCAAAAAATATAGCGATAATAAATATAACCTTTAAATACGTAGAATTTTTAAATAGATAATTACTAAAGTTATACCAATACGTACGTACGTATCTATAGTTATTTACATTAGCAGTTAGGGGGTTTCAAAGTTAACTAATTTTGACAGAAATAGGCAACATAAATATTTATTTTCAAATGAGCGATGTATCAACTTTATTTCATTTTCCAATAAATTTGAAATAATGATTTTTGTCGTTGAAAAGCTTATTTATTCCGTTAAATGGGAAACTCTAAATACTCTTATTTCATTTTCCGATTTTTAAAATTTTGAATTGCAAATAAGATTTTTCAAATACATTTTATTTTTAAAATTCTTAACTTTGAAACCCCTATTTTGTTATAAGAATATACAACTCACTCTCGTTATACGTACGTACGTACGTAGTGAACTCTGACTAATTAAAATCCCGATATAGTAAAGTTCAAAGCCAGTCTATATAAAAGTCTCAATATAAACTATATATATTATTATTTTTAAATAAATTAATATATATATTGTACAATTTAATTTTATATAAATTTATAGTAATTATTAGCATTTATAAAAATATAGTTTCTTTTTTAAAAAATATTAAAACATATATACAATAAATTCTAATTTTCATGTAATAAATAAATATTTTAAATTTGAAAAGATTGTCTTGCACTATAGGTCAGGGCTAGCAATAGCGCCAATGGAGCTCAATGGTTGTGCGAATGGAGCTCAAAAAATTAGTATCCATTGGCTCCATACAGAGCTCCATTGGTTCCATTCGCAACTCCATTGGGCTCCATTGAACTACAAAAGTTTACGACATGAACCCTAAAAATAATTGCTCTACCTTGCAAATATGAATGTACTGTATATTCGCAAAAACAAACATCAAACAGATTTAGAACCTTGAATTATTTTAAATAGGAAATATTGTAATGGTAATCCAGTGTATATACTGCTGCATCATAAATCACATCACAGCACTTTTGGGTTCTGAGAGTTCAACAGTATTTGATTTGGCAGTTTTGCGCAGCTTTATAACTTAATTTATATAAATTAAACTTATTACTACGTACGTATTATACAATTGGTAAAAAGTCCAATTTACATGTTTAAATTAAGCAAATATTATTTAATCATCGAATTCGATTCTTTTGTTGTCTTAGCACTAGGGTTGTTAATGGGTTGGGTTGGGTTGGTTTGGGTTGACCCAATATTCACTAAATTAGACTTACTCCAGTGTTTTGCTCCGGGTTGCTCCAGGTTGCTCCAAATTTAAAGACATAATTTTAAACCAACTCCAACTTGGGTTGGGTTCTATTCTGGAGTGCTCCGGGGTAAGGCACTCCATTAACAACCCTATTTAGCACTATCACACATTATTCTTATCAGGCACAGCATATACACATCGCGTTTAAGTTGGTTTATACAAACAAATAGATTAATGAATCAGACATCGATCATCGGGTGAAAGAAGGTGGATTGATCAAATTACCCGGCGACAAACTCATAAATTTTCAAGCAAAGATGTCAGAAAGCGAAAAGCCACTCATACAAAATATAAAAGCTTGCTTCACAGATAAGTGGAAACCATCGGCTGATGCCGTGTATTTTATCCAATAACATGAGATTTTTTAAGAACAATGAGTAGTTCATGTGTAAACCGATCAATTAATTCACCAGTTTTGATTGCAGCTCGGTAGTATTTTTATAATTGTGAAACTTTTAATTTCTAAATAAACTTTTTTTTTCTAAGCAAAAAAGTGTATCACTATATGTATAGTTTCTAATCATTATTGTTTTTACGCCTAACCCTAAAGTTATTAATATATGCTATATACGTATATAATAAATAAATAAATGCAGTATATACTGTGTAATATTATATGAAATAACAAAGATAATTATAACCGTCATTGATGTAATTAAACTCGATCCGAGAACGATAATAATTAGAAATAAGCCTGAGACTATAATAACCACAGTAATAGTGATGTTAATTAACTTGTTTGACTCTATTCATCAATCGGTTTTTATCATCATAAATATACAAGCAACTAATTAGCAAATTACTTGAGAACACAAATTCAGAGAGAAATGAGATTTTAATAAGATGTCATAAGAGATTAAGTGCTGAATATCGGTATTTACTGAATGTTAAGGCGCAGTAGCCACGAAAAGAAACTCAGTAAATCGAGAAATCGTATTAAAAAGTCATTGAGATAGTATTAACCACGATATCTCTATCACATGAGTAAAAAAAATTCAAGTAGGCTAAGGTTAGTTAAGGGTAAAATTTTCTAAGATAATTTCATAGTTATAATAAAATTTTTAAAAAATAATAGTGACAGTTTTAACTTAATGATACGTAATATGCATCCGTATATAAATTTAGAATACGTACCAATAAATATTTAGTATTGAGTGAAGACAGAAAACTCCAAAATTACATACGTTTATGTTTTTGATATCTTTGCTTAGTTGTTAAGGATATTCTTTGCTTAGCTGTTAAGGAAATTCTTTGCTTAGCTGTTAAGTCCCCAAGAACGCAATTCCATTTACGTATTCTTACGTGAATACATCAAAAACATAGTTATGTATCACACTCATTCTCTGAATAAATAAAGATCTTGTACTATACTGCATCCAATGCTATCAAACATAATGATAAATCTCAAACAAGGATAATTGACTAATAAATCTATCTAAGTCATTATAACATGCATCAATAAGTACCATTGCATTGATTTACTAAACCTAACATAATATAGGTTATACCTATTTGCATACAAAGTATCTACGTAGGCACAATAGAAATAAAAATGGTAGCATTATAGTGCTTGAGAAGAATACAATGATTATCATCTGTATTTCATTGTGACTAAACTGCTAAAATATGTATGCATTTCCTTGGAACGGCGTAATTCCCGTGTTGAACTATAATCTAATAATAGTGAATTAAAAATATATGGTCACTCATTCAGGTGAGTTTTAATTACAATAATATAAAAAGCGCGGTACTTTACTACTATTATTTTTTTTAGTTATGAACTCTTCAAAAATTTCAAATAATTTATCCTGATTTTATAAGCGAATATACTCAAATAGGATGAGCGACCTCAACAGTCCACCTACTGATTTCACGTTAAACCATGATGATGAAATAAAAACAACTCCAAATCTTAATAACGTAAAGATACCGATGAAAACACTTATATTTCAAAAAATTAAAAGATTTATGGAAATAATGAGCTATTTTCGACTGATGTTTGCGTTAACTCTTTATATCTTAATTTTAATCGATTTAATTAGTATACAACAAAATAAAGAAAAATATTTTTGGATTGAAATTTTATTGCAGGTTCATATGAAAATTAGTGCGATATATATATATTTTGTCCTTTTAAGCTAAATATATATTAACATCAAAACTGCTCAGGTCATAAACGCTGAATTCACGTTACTTACTCTAATAGAGCATCCAAAACGACTAAAAAACTTGTTAAGAGCTATTCGAATTTGGGCTGCAAATCACCGTGCAAAAAGTTCTTCGAGAATTCAAAAACTCTGTGAGCCTGATGATTCTTCAAATTCAGTATCCCAAACGGATACTCATTCAACACCTAAACCTGAAAAATTGGTAATAGCTGTAAAAGTTTCATTAGAACTTCCACCATTCATAAAAAATTTACAAAAACTTGTATCTCAAAGTTATGGATGGTATTTATATGATGTCGAAGATAATTCGTTGATTTGTTCTCCAGCAAAGTTATCAATTATTTTGATTACTTGGAATATTGGGAGTTTAATGCAATATGGAATTTGTGGTATGTTTATTTCGTGTAATTATGCGTGCATATGTAGGATGCGTAAACTTAAAACTTGTGCTAACATAAAACTACATATCCAGCAATCTTATGGTTAATAAAATCAATGAACCGTCCATACGTTCCATATTTAACATTAGCATTAATATCCATGTTTTGTGAACTCGTTCCAATTCCTGTGGTAGTCACTCAATCAAAACGTGCGTTATTGGCTAAACGATTAGTAATGGATAATTCTGAAAAATCTATTTGTAGCCATGTTTAGTAGTCATGTTTAGTTATAATATTTTAAATATCAGATCAATAGAGATCTATTCATGTTTTAAATAATGTTTGCAATCAATTGCAACCTCCATATTTATCATTTTTATATATACAAATAAAAAAAAAAAACCAATATAAATATTTTCCAATGTAAAAAGAAATTTTGGGATAATCTTGTCGATATATTCAAGGTAACCAACCAGTCCAATTCGAAGCCACAAAAATTTAGTGCGTATGTTAATTACAAAAATTAGTTAAGACTGCCGTGATGGATAGGATTATGCTCTTCAATTGTTTTTTTTTTTTTTTTATAGACCGGAAAGGCCATTTTTACTACTATTGGTTGAGTCATCAGGGTATTATAACTAGTGGTCTGGCCTTAGACTAATGAACTATGGTTAGTTTTTAAGACCAATCTGGAGCTAAAAGTGGTCTGCTCTTATTCTTAAAACCAGACCAGTCTAAAACGGTGTGGATTAACAAAGTTCTTAAAAAAGTGTAGACTATAATAGACTAAGACTTGTTGAAAATGAACTATCTCTAGCAGGCTTTACATGAAATAGGCTAGATTGAATAAGTTGGTTTTTTTTGATTGTTTTGTATACGTAACGATTTGCTATTTTCACCATGAAAATTTGCTATTTCCACCATGGATATATATTATTCAGAATTAGGGTTAGGGTCAGGGTTAGATTTTATAACGTTAGTTATTTATGGTAAAAATAGCAAATTATTATGGTAAAAATATTAGTTTTTTAAAAATATTATATTATAATTCTAATTTTACATTCTTTATAAACTTGTTAGTATATAAAAATATGTTATACTATATAGGATATTTAATTTTATATTTTTTCCTAATTCGCTTTTGTTTTTTTTTTTTATAATTCGGCAATCCTGCCTCTGTTTATTTGAGATTAAGCTATTCAAGAATTATACATTTCTATC